GCAGAAGGCTGCTGGGGAGTGAGGCAGATCTAGAAAACCTACTTTCCTCTGTTTGAAAGGCCACCTGGTGCCAAGTTTGTTTTTTTAAGATGAGGAATCCTAAGAAGGGAGAACAGGAAGTGGTCTTGGAGCTGCTCATAAGTACCTTGCATTCAGACATTCGAATTTTGGTAGGATGCATAGAACAGCCTTCACAGAATATCCTAATGCATAATGCAAGATGGAGCTGTTCCGCCTGGCCTTTGGGCTAGACTCAGTCTGACCCCCCTCTCATTTTTTATTTATTTTTTGATGGAACCCCTTATATGGGATTTTGTATACAAGTTTTCCCTCGGCTCTTTTTGCTGGCCCATGTAGGACCAGCACGGATAGTTGGCCCTGGTGAATATTTGACGTTTTCCCCCCTTATGGACTTGATTTATGGGCTACCACTAAAACGAGGCTGTATTTCAAGCTGTATTTTAAACTGTATTTTAACCTATATTTTAATTAACTGTTTGTTTGTTTGTTTGAAATGTTTTTACTGTATTTTATATTTGGTGTTAGCCGCCCTGAGCCCGGTCTTGGCCAGGGAAGGTGGGGTATAAATTATTATTATTATTATTATTATTATTATTATTATTATTATTATTATTATTTTATAGCATATGTCCCAATTTTCATAGGAACAGCAGAAGCTACCTTATACCGAGACAGACTCTTAGTCCATGTAGCTCAGTATTTTCTACATATTGGCAGGGGCTCTCCAAGGTTTGAGGCAGGTGACAACCCCAACCCTACTTGGAGAGCTGGGGATTAAATTTTCTGCATGCAGAGCAGATGTTCTACCATTGAACTATGGCCTTTCCTATAAAGGTTTATACAGCCAAAGGTAGATATCTCAGTCCCAGGCTGTATGGGCATTAAAAATCAGAGCGGTGACCCCCCTGAAGACTTCAGTGATCAGGCAAGGATATAAGGAATCAGGCTGCCCTTGAGGTATCCTGGAACCAAATTGTTAATGGCCTTGTAAATTTCATACACACATACATAATTTTATTTGTATGCTGCCTTTCCATAGTTAAAACCATGCTCAAGGGGGCTTACAACATGAAAAAAAAAATACTTAATTACCAGCATAACAAAATGGCCATAAACAATATACAGTGGTACCTCGGGTTAAGTACTTAATTTGTTCCGGAGGTCCGTTCTTAACCTGAAACTGTTCTTAACCTGAAGCACCACTTTAGCTAATGGGGCCTCCCGCTGCCGCCGCGCTGCGATTTCTGTTCTCATCCTGAAGCAAAGTTCTTAACCTGAAGCACTATTTCTGGGTTAGCGGAGTCTTTAACCTGAAGCATATGTAACCTGAAGCGTATGTAACCCGAGGTACCACTGTATAAAACATCAGAAAGTACATAGTGATGATGATGTCGTCATCATCATCATCATCAACAACAACAACAACAACAACTTATACCCCACCCATCTGGCTGGGTTTCCCCAGCTACTCTGGGCTGTTCCAACAAAAGATTAAAAATACATTAAAACATCAGTCATTAAAAACTTCCCTAAACACAACCAAATTAAACAATTAACACATAAATCATAACAAGATCTAAAATGAAGTTGCAAAAAAAAAAATAATCAAAAACAGCAACAACTTGCTGCCTGCAACAAAACCCTTAAAGAATACCCCAATCCAATAGTTTATTCAGCAGCTTCAGCTTTCGTAGCTGGAGTCAGTCCGGGCTCCACCCTCCCAAGCCAGGTGGGAAAAAGCCTGTAAGACAAGGAGCAGGTCTTCCAGGGCTCACAGCCAAGATGGGAAAAGAACCTTGATACCTGACCCAGTAGTGTATATCCTATATCCTATATCCTATATCCTATATCCTACATCCTACATCCTACATCCTACATCCTACATCCTACATCCTACATCCTACATCCTATATCCTATATCCTATATCCTATATCTATATCCCATCTAAATGGGAACAGAGATTCTTCTTTAAGGTGTCAGAGGACAGATGGTAGATGGCTTAGACGTAGCCCTGTATCAGGACCATAATCTTATTAACTCTGAGTCTGCACAGACCTGCACACTCACACTGGCATCTAGACAAGAAGCAAGCAGATGGTCACTTAGCTCATCATCATGACACATGGCACTCTCTCCCCCCCACCTGCCTGCAGTACAGCAAACAAAGCCACTGAGGTCACTTGTGCATAAGCCACTTTCCTGGGGTCAGAGTGAAGCTCTTTTCCAGGCCCCACGCCTTGCCCTCCTTAGTAGCACAGTGCACATCCTCAGTTCTTGCTGCAATGCATTTTTGTTGCCAGCAGGGGGAGCACTGCATGCACACCAATTTAAGAAACACAGGTCACACTCCACACCTTACAGTGGTACTTCAGGTTAAGAACAGAAATCGTGCTCCGGCGGTGCAGTGGCAGCGGGAGGCCCCATTAGCTAAGGTGGTACCTCAGGTTAAGAACAGTTTCAGGTTAAGAACGGACCTCCAGAACGAATTAAGTTCTTAACCCGAGGTACCACTGTATAAGAGTGCTTTAAATGTCACTGCAGGATCTGTGCTGTGGAGGAATGGCATAACTCAGTGGTAGATCATCTGCAGGTTCAATCTCCAGTTATAGTTATAAATTGTGGGTTGGCATCTGATTTATTCTGATTTGAATCTGATTTGAATCTGTATTTCAGTTGATTGCTGGATTTTATGTTTTAATATTATATACTTTGATGTTAGCCGCCCTGAGCCCAGTTTGGCTGGGGAGGGCGGGATATAAATAAAATATTATTATTATTATTATTATTATTATTATTATTATTATTATTATTATCGTCATCATCATCGTCATCATCATCATCATCACCATCATCTCCAGAAAGGATAAGTGGAAGAGGAAGTTTAGACAATACTGAGTGAAGTCACTTCCAGATGACCTGCGCATTGAGTAGTCATCTTGATTTGCTTGCACAAAGTTTGTGGGGAGGTTATGCGACATCATCAGCTGTTTTTTTGAGCGGTCATTCTGATTTGTTTGCCGGACAGTTATATGATGTTGTGCCAAGCAATTGTTTCTCTCACACTTTCCTGTCACTTTCCCTACTGCAAAGCATCCTATGTTTGTGGGCAGGAAGTGGGGATTAGTTCCAGCAAGGGAAATAGTCCCCTCAGGATTCTGAATCTTTTTCAGCTCAAGGACTGTATTCCCTTCTGAGCAGCCTTCTGGGACTACATACCAGTGGCAGGAGGAGCCAGGGGGAAAAGCAGGCAGAGCATTGAGAGAGCCAGTGTGGTGTAGTGGTTAAGAGCGGTAGTCTCGTAATCTGGGGAACCGGGTTCGCGTCTCCGCTCCTCCACATGTAGCTGCTGGGTGACCTTGGGCTAGTCACACTTCTCTGAAGTCTCTCAGCCCCACTCACCTCACAGAGTATTTGTTGTGGGGGAGGAAGGGAAAGGAGAATGTTAGCCGCTTTGAGACTCCTTCGGGTAGTGATAAAGCGGGATATCAAATCCAAACTCTTCTTCTTCTAAATTCTACTTTCATGCAGTAGGCCGATTTCCACACACTCTCATACGCCCTTCAGCTAGTCAAAAACAATAAAGAAAGTGTGTTTTTGCAAATTGGGGCTAGTGGGGGAGTAATGAGGAGCCTCATGCCTGAGGTTCTCCCCACCACCACTGTACCAGATAAAAAAATGTAAACTTTAAACCGGATGTCCCAGCTGAAATGTTACCTCAGCTATAAACACACTGGGTAGCCTTCTGCAGCTATGAGGCTGGTTCCATGTTTGATGTGGGAATGCCTTTTCTTTAAAATACATAGCAGGCAACTTTTTATCAATGGATTATTTCAAATGCTCAGGCTTCCTCCTTCATTCAGCAGATCTCATTTTCAGTTGCTGGGAGATGGGTGCCTCTGGCGCTAAACGAGGTCTATTTTTACTTTTTGCAAAACAGAATGGTAATGATTTCCTTTGGGAACATCCTAGGGCAATTTGTGAATAACTGGAACCAATTCCCGGTCTCACTTTTTGTTTCCTTTTTAAAAAGCAACATCAACCCTGCAGGAAAGTGGCTATCCCCGAAGCTTTATTCCTGTGAACCTCCAATATTGGGGGACTTCATTGCTTCTGCACTCTGAGGTGGAAGACATTTCTCCACATGTGTTTATCAAGTGTGATTGGTTGCTTAAGTGTCTAATGCAGATGTGAGGAAGCTTTAGCCCTCCAAATGTTGCTGAACTACAACTCCCATCATCCCTGGCTGTTGCCCACACTTGCTGGTGCTGATGGGAATTGTAGTCCAGCAATACCTTGAGGGTCAGAGGTTCCCCACACCTCGTCTAATGCACAATTAGAGTTAGACAGACCCAATGTCAAACTGAAATTAGGATGCAACCCTGTCCTTTAGATCAGTCAGCCAAGGGAACTTAGAATTTGGAAGACACTTCCATTACAGTAGGAATGAGGAACCTATGGCACTACAACTCCCATCTTCTCTGTCCTATGCTTGCCAGGGCTGAGGGCATTTGGAGAGTTACAGGTTCTCCACCTGCTCCATCACAAGTTATGCTGTTCTCTTTTGTCCTCTGGTGTTGTTGTTAGGTGACTTACACCAACTGCATGTGCCTGCTTTGAGTACAGATCTGAAAGCTCACCTGTTTACAGCTATAAGATTTTTGATCATTGCCCAATGGAAGAGCATTAATTCTCCATCTATAGCAGCACATATCGATAAGGTGTAGTAAGTTCTAGCATCCGATGGAATTACTTATTTAAGCACATCATGAATCCCAGTTGTATTTTTGGAAAGGCTAACCTGGTGGAACGTGGGATTTGTCACTGTCTTACATGAAGCTGCCCAGCTATGATGACAGAGCCATTCTGCCAGCAGAGAGACACCAGTGTTCAGTGGCAAGACCAAAACAAGGCAGAGTTCTACATTAAAACTGTTGGTACCTTTGATTGATTGATTGCTCAGCCCTTCCATCTTTTGCAGGCATCGGAGGTGGAAAAACAGCTCTCTATGCAGGTTCATGTCCTCCAAGAGGACTTCAGGGAGAAGAAGTCATCGACCAGCCAGCACATCGTACGACTCGAGAGCCTTCAAGCAGAGGTGAGTTCCCCCCATGGCTGGAATGGTCTATGGCAGTGGTAGAGAAGCTGGAGGGGAAGGCCCATTGCAAAATGGTAGAGGGTCCAAGGTTCAGTTCCCAATGGCATCCCCAGGTAGGGCTGGGAAGAGCCGCTGGAGAGCTGCTGCCAGTCAGTGTGGACAGTACTGGGCTAGATGGATCCACTAGTCTTATTCAGTATAAGGCAGCTTCCTATGCTCCTATGTCGGTCCAAAGGCTGCAGGGAAACACACACGCCCTACCCTGACACTGCAGGCCCATACTTCCTCTACCCCATTAAGAATTGGACTATAAAAAAGGTAAAGGGGCCCCTGACCATTAGGTCCAGTCACGGATGACTCTGGGGTTGCGGTGCTCATCTTGCTTTATTGGCCGAGGGAGCCGGCGTACAGCTTCTGGGTTATGTGGCCAGCATGACTAAGCCGCTTCCGGTGAACCAGAGCAGCGCATGGAAATGCCGTTTCCCTTCCTGCCAGAGCGGTACCTATTTATCTACTTACAGTTTGACGTGCTTTTGAACTGCTAGGTTGGCAGGAGCTGGGACAGAGCAATGGGCGCTTACCCCATCGTGGGGATTTGAACTGCCAACCTTCTGATCGGCAAGCCCTAGGCTCTGTGGTTTAGACCACAGTGCCACCCGCGTCCCATAATTGGACTACATTCCTCTAAGAATTGTTTGCTTTATCTGCAAAGTGTCTGTGTGTATGTGTATGAGGGTGTGAGAGATAATGAGGTGGTGCAGGGAGTGCTATGCAATCCTCCAAACACCTCCCACCATTGGTTTCACCCCCTAATTGATTCCCCCTGAAGTAATATGGTCTTCAATAGGGGGGGGGATCATCCACCAACCCCGGTCTATGGTCCATTTTGCAAGGATTCCAGAAATGGCGAGGCCACCATTGCAATTAAGACCAATTATGCATTCAGCACTATTAAATGGTGAAGCTCTTTCTGGAATGTTCCATGTCAGCCTTGCTGGCTGGGGTGGAATAGCTCCCTTTACATAGAATGATAGGGGAAAGCTTAAAATAGACTGAATCTTCCTTCTAGACCACTTAGAGTTGGAGTTTTCATGAGTTTTCAGGGAGTATTTTTAGTTGGGGGGAAACCCAGCCAGATGGGCAGGGTATATATTATTTATTTATTTATTTATTTATTGACATCCAGCCCGCTGCTTTCTGGATTCTGAGGACACATTCACACCATACATTTAAAGCCCATTAGTTCCCTGCCCCCTCGGCAAGGTAACATGGCAACTGTAGTTTGTTAAGGGTGCTGGAAGTATAGCTTTGTGAAGGATAAAAAATACAGTTCCTACTATTCTTTGGGGGTTTGCCACATGCTTTCAATGTGTCTCGAATGTGCTTTAAACATAAGTTGTGGATATGAGTAGAACAAGATTTGGAGTCCTTGCTCCTTTGGCAAAATTCTCCAGATTTCCACTTTGATTCATGTTTCTAGATCTTATGGTTATAGAAATAACATATGGCACAGGCAAATATAAAATATCTGCTCAAAGAAACCGGAGGCTGGATCAATGCAACTTTGAGCAGGAACAGAAGCTTCTATATTTCTCTCTTCTCTTTTAGCTTCCTTGGGGACCCCAGATCCTGCCCACCATGTTGAGACTCCTGTTTTCCCAATGACCCATGTGTCTATTCTTTTCTGTCCTTGTCTTTCTTCCCTTTCCCTCTTACTAAACAGAACAAAAAAGCTACAAAACCTTCCAATATTGCAGCAAGGTGGATAAATATTTGTTGCAGCTTTGCATAATTTACTCCACTTGTTCCAGGAGCTCTGGGTGTGAGTGTCTGCCACTTCCGGCATAGAATTATTTCCCCACTCTTCCTGGGGCAGCCAAAATGTCTCTTTGGCTTCCCCTACTTGACCTCCTGGCCAAGTGGGTTGGCCATCATTGGCTTAAATGCAAAGATGGCTTTGTCTATAATTTGTGCTTTGTACCACAATTGCACCTGCAGTGGTGCTAAACTGAAGCCACTCATCAGTATCTTTGTTCTGCAGGTGAACGGTTTTGTGCCGAAGGAAGGTCGTGCAACCAAATGCATAGGCAGGTTGCTGGTAGCTTTGTGTAAATGGCTTCTGCTAGGTCAACATTGTACTACATGGATTGGCAAACTAAGGTCTGGAGGGCGGATTCAGCCCAATTGCATTCTGGATCCGGTCTGTGGATGGTCCAGGAATCGCCGTGTGGATTGGCATGGGGATTTTGATCATTTGTGTTGTACCATTTCCCCCCCACACACACACACCGCGATGGAGCCTCCTCCCTCCCTCCTCCTGGCTTATCCCTGCCCTGCCTAGAGGAGGAAGGGGGCTGGGCTTTGTTGAGCCGCAGTTGGCTGAGCACCATTTTAAGGAGCCCCTCTCCGGAGCCAGCCCTTTTGTGCCACTCATCATCCTGCCGCCAGCCCTTGCCACTCGCAAGGCACAGGTAAGCAGCCACCGGGGTTCATCCTGTGCTGTGGAGAAGGGAGGGGAGAGTCGGTGGAGGGGATTCTCCCCAAAAAAACATATAGTCCGGCCCCCCACAAGGTCTGAGGGACAGAAGACCGGCCCCCTGTGGAAAAAGTTTGCTGACCCCTGTTGTACAACATTAAAACTCAACATCTGCTACAATAGCCCTTGCTGAGTCCAATAGCATCCAGATCAGGGGTCAGCAAACTTTTTCAGCAGGTTGCCGGTCCACTGTCCCTCAGACCTTATGGTGGGCCGGACTATATTTTGAAAAAAATAATGAACGAATTCCTATGCCCCACAAATAACCCAGAGATTTTAAATAAAAAGCACACATTCTACACATGTAAAAACACGCTGATTCCTGGACCGTCTGGAGGCCGGATCCAGAAGGCGATTGGGCCAGATCCGGCCCCCAGGCCTTAGTTTGCCTACCCATGATCTAGAGGGCCCCAGGCTCCCACCCCACTCTGTTTATTAAAAAAAGTTGGAGGGCTGGGATAAGCATTTTGTTTTCTTGTTTTAGAAAAGGTTTCCCCTCCCCACCTTGAGCTTTTAGGTTTCTTGGTTTCTCCTCGTCAATCCTGACTTGTCCCTTTTCTCTCCTTCCCCGTTCCCTTCCTACTTGACTGTGGAGCAGCAAATCCTTGAAGTAAGTACAGAAGTGGTCCTTGGGTCCGAAATGCATGTCCATCAGCCTCCACTTCTTGCATGCCATGCTTGTGATGCTCTTCATGTCTCTAGCTCTCTGGGTTCTTGGCTCCATCTTCTTCTTGTCTCTGCTGGTCTGCCAGAAGAGTTGGGGATTTGGTACCCTCAGTGGAGGCTGGTCCATTAGGGAAAATGGGGTACTGTTCACGAATCCCAGTCTACCTTCAGCCAGCTCCCATCTGCTTGGCTTCTGACTTGTATCCGGTCCAGAGGGTGGCACTCACTGCCTATCAGCTTCCTCCTCCTCCTTAGTCTCAATGTTGCCCCCATAGAACTCAGCAGGGGGGAGGATGGGGACAAAACTAGAATTGGTTGGTTCTGCCTCTCATTGACTCTAGCACCACCTACTGTTGGTCTCCCTTCCTTCTGCCCCACCAGTCCCAATGGGCACCAGCCACCACTGGGTACAATCATTCATTGATAAAGGATGCTTTCATCATTGACGTATGCATTGTTTTTAAGTCTTGGTATCTGTGTTGATATTTCTCTCTTCCAAAGACCTTAAGACAATGGCGGGGAAACCCAGTGACTTCAAGACGTTGCTTGACTCCACCTGCCATCATCCCTGAGCATTGATCGTGCTGGCTGCTGGGGCTAATGGGAGTTGAAATCCAATAACGTCTGGCTGGTCACAGGTTCCCACCCCTGCCATTAAAATTGGAAATCTCGGAAATTTAAACATAAAATATAATATTTTTTTATTTAAAAAATCAGACCACCATTCATAATTCAAAGACCACCTGAAATAAAACAGTTTTAACTAGACATCTAAAACTCACCTGATTTTATTTTTGATCCCTTTCCTAATGATCCCTAACATGGAAGCTGCCTTTTTCACAGCTGCTGTACACCTTGTGTATCTAGAAATTGGGTTTTTCTTTCTGCTGAAGAAGAGCTCCGAATGTCTCAAAACATTTTTTAGGTTCTTTTAAAGCCTGTCTGCACTCTATATTGCACCTAGCCTTTCTCTGACTTACATATTTCTGAGGGTTTTTTAAATAAATTCTTTATGGGGCCTTTTGACCTTCTTGTGTGAGAAACAGACTGGATAACGGGAAGGGGCTGGAACTGGTGAACTGATATTTGTGTACTAAAGAATTACAGGCCACAGGACGGATGTGAGTAATAAAACATAAAATGTACGGGCAGAAAATCCCTTCAGTGGCATTGGATAACCTTGGGGGATGCTGAAAATTTCCCTGACTTTCCCCCACAGGGACTGAGAACGCTACTCTCGGACCTTTGCTTTAAAAAGTCTGGCGTCCATCTGCAGCATCTTTGCTGGGACAGGGTTTTGTTTACCTGCCTCTGGTGGAGGTTGCACAGACAGAAAAGGGTCTCAACAGGAAACATCAAGAAAGTGGAGACTGATCCATTGGGGCAAATAGGGCACTGCCCCACCAATCTCCGTCTGCCTTCAGCCACAGCCCCCACTTGCCTACCTTCTTATAATCAGCCCTGGCTGTCAAGTTCCTCCTCCTTAGTCTCAGGGTTGCCCTTGTAAAGCTCAGCAGGGAGTTGGAGGATGGGAACAAAATTAGCATGTGTTGCCATTGCCTGTCATCGGCTCTGGCGCCACCTACTGTTGGGCTCCTTGGCTACTGCCCTACCAGTCCCAATGGGCCCATATCAACATCAGTTGAATCCTACTTGTTAAGTTGTGGGTGAACATATCAGACGAAAAAGCGATTCTTCGAACAGCTCTTGTTTATTCACAGGCCAGGACAGAACTGAAGGGTTCAGTCAGCCTGCTTATATAGAGCTCCAGTACAACGTAACTGTAACAATTTTCTAAAACTATCCAATCACTGAACGTCACTTTCGATCCCTTATTTGCATAACTATCTACAGTATCCCCCTGCTGGCCCAAGGGTGAGAACTTCAGTACATAACACTACTTGTTCTCTGAAAGCTGCTGTTTTTTATTGCCTTCCTTGAACATTTTTTTTAAAAAAAATATTTTCTTGTCTCTTCATCCTGTCTTTCCCACCATGGAACCCATGCATCATACCATGTGGTTTCCAGGCAGTCCTCCATCCAGGCCCTGGCCAGACCCAGACCTGCTTAGCTTTGTTAAGGTGGTACCCTCATGTGCCTTCAGATCATGCCCAGGACCATTACGGATGTCAAGGGAAGGGGCAGTAGCTCACTGGTAGAGCAGCTCTTTTGTAAGCAGAAATTCCCAAGCGATCAACAGAATGGCCAAAAATGTTTAAACAAGAACTTTTAAACATGTAAGCAGTGTTTCCCAACCTTGTGCCTCCAGCTGTTTTTGAACTACAACTCCCATCATCCCTGACTAGCAAGACCAGTGGCAAGGGATGATGGGAATTGTAGTCCAAAAACAGCTGGAGGCACAAGGTTGGGAAACACTGATCTAGAGAGCACTTTTGTGTGGACTAGAAGTCATCGCCTCAAGAGTAGTTCAAGTACAATCCCAGGCATCTCCAGATACGGCAAGGAGAGAGCCCCTGCCAGTCAGCATAGACAGTTCTGAGCTAGATGGACCAGTAGTCTAAATCAGGCATGTCCAACTCCCAAGAGACTGTGATCCACTCCCAGTATAAAATACGAACTGGCAGTGAGCTATCCCAGGGCTAGGCAACCTAAGGCCCAATCACCTTCTAAATCCGGCCCATGGACGGTCCAGGAATCAGCATGTTTTTACATGAGTAGAATGTGTCCTTTTATTTAAAATGCATCTCTAGATTATTTGTGGGGCATAGGAATTTGTTCATTTTTTTTCTTCAAAATATAGTCCGGCCCCCCACAAGGTCTGAGGGATGGTGGACCGGCCCACGGCTGATCCCTGATCTACCCATTGTCATTGGAGGGAGGAGGAGTGTGTGTGGGGTGGATGGATTACCCAGAATTGTTGAGCTTTTGGGGGGGAGGATTGCCCAGAGTTTTTTAGCTCCCCCCCATAACTTTCTGTACACGATAAGAATCCCGCGATCTGCCAGGATCAGCCGGGGATCTACTGGTAAATCGCGATCTACTGGTTGGACATCCCTGGTCTAAATCAATATAAGCTTCTTATGCTCCTAATGGTTTTTAAGCCCTTCCCTCTTGGCACATTGACTGTCCCTATGAACTACCGTACTTCTGTTTCTACCGAGCCCAAAAGAGAGGGTGGTTTCTCCATTCTTGATTCTCTTGATCCATTGCAGAAGGCAATTTTATCAAAGTCAACAGAGGGTACTCCTTAGTATGGTCATTCTCCTTTGATTTGTCCTTATCTCTGAGCAAAATAGTATATGAGTCATATGTGGTACCCAGTGGGAGGAAAGAGGGGGTGGGAAGGAATGCAAACAGGCAGTAATTGTGTTTTGCTGATAAAGCAAATTAGTTTCTGTAGAATCTACAGAATTCTAATTCTGTAGAATTCTGCAGAATTACCTCAGTTAAAACAAGTGTGAGTGTTAAACAGCCTTTCCCAACTTGATGCCTCCAGATGTTTTGGACTACATTTTTCATTGGCCCCAAACAACGCAGCCACATAATGCTGGGGTTGATAGGAATTGTCTTCTAAAACATCTGGAACGCACCAGTTTGGGAGAAGGCTAGCACAAAATGTTGTGATCATCCACCAGGCCTAATTGATGGGAGGTCAATTAGACAAGACTGGCAAGCTGCTACTCAAAATAACAAACCAAGTAACCCACGGTTTGGGGATCAATACCATCACACCCCTTATATTCTAGCTTGGTCTCTGAGATCATGTAGAGGAGTGCTGTTCGTTGTATTAGAGGCCCAGCTTGGCTCAACTAGAAATCAGGCATTTAGTGTTGCGGGTCCCATGCTGTGGAACGCTCTTCCAGCAGAGATTCGGCACGCACCCTGTGACTTCTACGCATCTCCTTTCTATGCTGGCAGGGCTTTGTAGCTGCCTAATTTTTGTTTTTGGATTAGCCAGTTACCTCAATGGTTATCTGCATTTTTATTTTTGTCAGTGATGTTTTATGTTTCAATGTTCAGCACTATCCTAGTACTTTATGATATGGCAGAATGAAAACACTTTTAATCAATAAATAAAGAACAGAGTTACAGGGACAGGCCCAGATCCCAACTCTGCCAGGACTGTTACAGAACCTAATAATATCACTTACAACATTAGGGGCTCCTTTGCCTGCTCATCTTTCAATGTGGTATATATGCTGTCATCTGCCAGTAGCGCCTTCTGCATTAGGACAAATAGGCCAGACTCTTCTATGCAACAGAATAGGTAAAGGGACCCCTGACCATTAAGTCCAGTCGCGGATGACTCTGGGGTTGCGGTGCTCATCTTGCTTTACTGGCCGAGGGAGCCGGCGTACAGCTTCCGGGTCATGTGGCCAGCATGACTAAGCCGCTTCTGGCAAACCAGAGCAGCGCACAGAAACGCCGTTTACCTTCCCGCTGGAGTGGTACCTATTTATCTACTTGCTCTTTGACATGCTTTCAAACTGCTAGGTTGGCAGGAGCAGGGACCAAGCAATGGGAGCTCACCCCGTCACGGGGATTCAAACCACCGACCTTATGATCCACAAGCCCTAGGGTCTGTGGTGTAACCCACAGCGCCACCCGTGTCCCTTTTATGCAACAGAATAAATGGACCCAAATTTTATTTTACAAACAGCAATAGCCCCAAACCAGTGTGGGGACATTGAAACTTTTCAAGAACACCCTGTGACTGACCTTGAGGTAGACCATCCTTGAACAAAACAAAACCTTCAGAGTAGTTTTTAAGATGCCACAAGACACTTCATTGTTTTGACAAAGGAAATTCCTTCACATCATGTGCCTGTCAGAGCATATCTACATAGGAATAGTCTTGCTGGATGAGAACAAACTATTCCAGCATCTTTTTCTCACAGTGACCAACCAGGTGCCCCCATGGGAGTGATCTGGGGTTGTGTCAACCCAACCAAATGTGACTAGGAATTGCCCAGAACTGGTTCAGGTTCTGGGCTTTGATTGAATATGGTGCACGTCCCTTAGACACACATACACATATTGGGATTTCCAAGCTGACTTAGCTGCAACAGTCACAAAATGCAATCATTCCACTACAAACCAAAATTTTATTCTTTTATATAATAATAGTAAAATAAATAATAATATACATTTAGAGGGGGGAAACTGAATAACAAGCAATAGTAAATCTCAGTGTAATTTGTTCAAAGAAAATAAATAGAAAGTGGTTACTGTTGCGTTGTAGTGGAGCTCTATATAAGCAGGCTGGCTGAACCCTTCAGTTCAGTTCTGTTCTGGCCTGTGAATAAACAAGAGCTGTTTGAAGAATCGCTGTGTCATCTGATATGTTCACCCACAACTTAACAGGAGTTACAGAGTGGGAAAATCTGGAGGGCACCACAGTGGCTACCCCTCAGTTGAAGTGCTGGCCATGGACTGGGGGAACCCAGGTTCAAATCCCCACACAGCTGTGAACCTCACCGATTGACCTTGGGCCAATCGCCTTCCCTCTCAGCTTCTATGGATATAAAAATGAGTTTCTGCAACTCACAGTGAGGATTCGTGAACATTATACAGCATTAACTTAAGTGTTAGCTGCAGGTTTTGATGGGGGATTTTATTGTACGGAACCTCTGAGAATTTGATTTGGGTAGGGGAGAAATATGTTCTCTCTTTTGAATTGCTTGGAGAAAAGGAGAGCTCAAATCTCCACTCCATGGGTGACTTTGAACCAGTCAATCTTTCAGTCTAGCCTACCTCACAGGGTTGTTGTCAAGACACAATGGGGGAAAGGGGGAGGGGTGAACCATGCACACTACAGTGGTACCTCGGGTTACAGACGCTTCAGGTTACAGACTCCGCTAATCCAGAAACAATACCTCAGGTTAAGAACTTTGCTTCAGGATGAGAACAGAAATCGGGTGGTGGCTAGGTCCAGTCGTGACCGACTCTGGGGTTGCGGCGCTCATCTCGCTTTATTGGCCGAGGGAGCCCGCGTACAGCTTCCAGGTCATGTGGCCAGCATGACTAAGCCGCTTCTGACGAACTAGAGCAGCACACGTAAACGCCGTTTACCTTCCCACCAGAGCGGTACCTATTTATCTACTTGCACTTTGATGTGCTTTTGAACTGGTAGGTTGGCAGGAGCAGGGACCGAGCAACGGGAGCTCACCCCGTCACGGGGATTCGAACCGCCGACCTTCTGATCGGCAAGTCCTAGGCTCTGTGGTTTAGCCCACAGCGCCACCCGCGTCCCTTAAAAGTCCTTGGCGGAGTTCAATATCTATTTGAACTCCATTAAAGTTCTTGGAGGAGTTCAAATAGATATTGGCGTAAAAGTAAAAGAAAAGAAGCAACAGTCTTCGGCCTGAAGCAGCAAGAAGGCCTCTTCCCCCAATCTGACGGGGCTGTTTAGGTACCTGGAATCCAGACCATGGAAATTCCCCCACATTTTGACTACCTAAAAGAAAAAGGGGGAAAGGCCCAGTGTGGAAAGCAGTTGCATAAACAAATCTGTTTGTGCTTTGAAGGTGTAAGCAAGGTGCTCCGTGAGCAGACTGAGAGAGGTGCAAGGCGTCCTTCCCCGGCGTTTTTATCTCTCTTGGGAATTCCAGAGAACACAGCGGCCTGGCTTTCCTCCTTCCCTCCCTCCTCCTTTGCCTGGCAACCCACATTCCAGCTCTCTAAGAGTTTAAATTCCTCCCCCACACTCTCTCTTTCTCGCCTCTCCAGACAAGTTTCTGGCCAGGGGGAAAGCGGACTCCTCTTTTGACCACAGGTGCAGGTAGATTTTGCATTCATTTCTCTCCTTCACTACACCTGGCCGAGTTCTCATTCTCTCCAGACTGGGAAATCGCAAACTCTTGAGACTTACTTTGGGGGTTCCTTTTCGTCCCCGCCCTTCCTCCGCTTTCAGATTAAGATGCTTACGGATAGGAAGCACGAGCTGGAGCGTCGGCTGAGTGCCATGATGGAAGAAAACAACCTTCTTCAGGGGACGGTGGAGGAGCTTCAAGATCGCGTGTTGATTTTGGAGCGGCAGAGTCACGAGAAGGACCTGCAGGTATGGGGGGAACAGGGGCTTGGGGAAAGGGGGGAGACAGCTGGAAGGAAGGGACTGATTAAAAATATTATTATTATGATTGAGCGATGCTGCCAGATCACCAGTTTGGGAACAGGAAGGTAACATTGTGAGGCTTGAGCAACCTGGATATTGGACTTTTACTAGTGTTTCAGGAATTTATGTATAGGTTGGGAGGGGGTTGCCCCTCCAGCAGATATCATGCACATGCAGCCCACTACCAAAACCAGCACAATCACTTTTGTGACTTTTGTGATTTGTCCCTACAAAACACTTCATCACAGTTTCTTCCTATCTATTCAAAGGGCCTTTGCTGCACGATACCAAATGTAACAATTCACTGATAAATGTCTCTATGTACTGGCTCACTGGGAAAACTTCCGAAATTCATATAGACACGTGAGCTCAGCTACTCAGCAGCCCCTCTGCCTGAGTGATAATCCCTGGCATCCTGATACCTGAGTGCCAGACAGGTAGCCATTCCAGAATTAACAAACCCAGATGAAGACAAAAGGGTGTGATTGACTTGATTAATTTACAGGGAAAATCTTTTTTGTTACATTTGATGGGTGTTTGGTGGGGGGCAAGGGGAACATGAGGCAGGGTCCATGATGCTCAGATTACGGCCACCAGACCTCCCCTTCCATGATGTAACCGTGATGTATGAGTGATGTAGTTTGGGGGGGTGTAACATGGGGATTAGCAACTAATAAAAGTTTGGGGGCTCTTTTGTTTGGGGCTTCCATCTTGTTCCACCTGGTGGCAGGTGGGAGTCCTGCCGCGACAATCTTCAATAAAGACCAAGCCTATTTGCTGCTGTTTTGCTCTGGTATTCCTGGCTGGTGTCCTTGTTTTTTGTCCAAGGGAGCCCTCAGATTTCTCCGTTAACACTAGGAACCAGTATGGCATCGGTGGGAGGAAAGGGGAACCCATGGCCCTCCACATGTCCCTGGACTACAGCTCCCATCATTCTTGACCATTAACCACGTGGGTCGGAGTTAATGGGAGCTGGACTCCAATGAAATCTGGAGGGCTACAGATTCTCCTTCCCTGCTGCATATTCTCGAAAGCTGCTGCTGCAATCCTAGACCTGCTTCCCTGGTAGTGAGCCCCATTGAATTCAGTGGGACTTCCTGTTCAGAAAACATGTATTTTAGTTTATTATTATACTTCACAAAAACGTGTATGCCGCTAAACAGTAATTATAACCTCTAAAGTGGTTTACAGAGAATATAAAATATGCATTAAAATTGTATTGAGTTACATTTATTATGGGTAGCATTGATTTGTTTATGTGCCCAATTTACCGTATTTTTTCGTCTATAAGACGCCCCCATGTATAAGACGCCCCTTATTTTGGGGGACTCAGGTTTAAGAAAATGGGGGGGAGATGTATCCGTGTATAAGACGCCCCCTAATTTTTGTCATTATTTTTTAGGGGGAAAGGCTAGTCTTATACACGGAAAAATATGGTATTTTCTGTCTCTTAGTGTTTAATTGTCCCTTCGAAGCAGCATGCAAAGCTTTCTATCCAACCTAAGTTGGACTCCCTGAAATTAATAGATCCAAGGCAGCCATGCCCATTATTTTTAATGAGTCTACTCTGAGTAAGATTAACTGGATACAGCTTAAAACTTTGTAAAATACAATAATGATGATTAAACAAAAGGATATGATCATCCAGTTAAAGCCACATTATGCCCCCTTAAACGTGAACAATAGCTGTTAAAACATTAGCAGTGAATAAAAGCAACAGCAGTGATTAAAAAACAGACTGAAATAAAGGGCGTTTGAGCTGTTTTGGAGCTGTGCAATGTTTTTAAAAGACATGTAGGATTGTGTTGTAAAAGCCTCATTTATGTTTTTTTAATTGTTTACCTAAAAACAAAAACTCAATGTTGTGAATACAGTGAACAGGTGTAAAGGCATGCTAATTTTAACTAATAAAATACTGGCATCATACAGGCATGTGAAGCTGTGGGAATCCCTCCCCACAGAGGTGTGTCTTGCACATTCACAATGCAGTTTTCTTGAAATGCAGATATATATTTTAAGACCCACCCTATTCTTCTGATTGTAAATTGTTTTAACTGGTTTTTATCTTGTTTTTTATATTGCTGAAGCCTGCTCTGTGACCTTATGGTGAAGGGTGGAGGATGATTAATAATAATAATAATGAAAAATATATCTTTATAATTTCTTGTGCCAGTTGCATCAGAACCAGCTAGAACTTCAGGAGGTGAGACTGTCTTATCGGCAACTGCAGCTAAAGGTAGATGAACTCAGCGAGGAGAGAAGCCTCCAGAATTTCAACTCTACCAGCACGTCTTTGCTCTCAGAGATTGAGCAGAGCATGGAGGCCGAGGAACTGGAGCAAGAGAGAGAACAGGTAGCATCAAAACTCTTGGCTCCAGAAGAATTGGGTGCAGCACAGGTGTGTTTAAATGTGTGTGGTAGAGCCATAGTGGACTTCCTTCCTAAAATCCTCCGTCCGCAAACATTTGTGTTGCACATTCTCCGAATACTCCGGTGTTCCCTGAATGTTCCTGATCTGCATTTGACATCCAGTCATCAACTTGATTTCTCAAGATTTGCTCTTTTATGGTTGGCACACAATAATATTTAATACTAATAATTTATTTGCTGGGGGCGGAAGGGTAATCAATTCCACAAGGACAAGCTATGTGTCAGAATTGATGCCTAGCTTGGCGCCAAGTGTGCTTCTTTGTTCGAAATATATGGAAAAGTGCCACCCCAGGTCAAATGGAGACTGGTCCATTAGGGAAACAGGGGTACTGCCCCACCAACCTCAGTCTGTCCTCAGCTGGCCCCAATTGCTTGCCTCTCCCTTAGACTCAGTGTTGTCCTTCTAGATCTCAGCAGGGAGGAAGATGGGGGCAAGAGTAGAGTTCGTTGGCGCTGCCTGCCATTGGCTCTGGCGCCACCTACTGTTGGACTCCCTGCTTTCCACCCTATCAGTCCCAATCAGCACCGGTCAGCACTCACTAGAACAGTCCTTTCTGCATTCTCATCACAGCTCAGACTCCAGCTCTGGGAGGCCTACTGCCAGGTCCGATACTTGTGCACTCACCTTCGAGGGAACGACAGTGCGGATTCTGCGGTCTCCACGGACTCTTCCATGGACGAGTCATCGGAAACCTCCTCGGCCAAAGATGTGCCGGCTGGTAGCTTGCGGGCTGCCCTCAGCGAGCTGAAGAGGCTGATCCAAAGTGTGATAGATGGCACAGACTCCACGGTAAGGGGGGGGGAGATTTGAAGCTCACATTTGAAGCAAATGTACCTGTGGTGTTTGCCCTCCTAGGTGGGTCATAAGGAAAGGGTTAAATGAGGGTGAAGTGATTGGCCAGTGGGAACCCAAGGGGAGGAGTTAGAGTTGGAGTTGTTGGAAAGTTGTTGGGAGTTGGAGAAGGAAGAGGGAGGATAAGTCTGTGGGTTGGTCGAGTTGTGATGTGAGACAGTGAGAGGAACTGTTAGGTGGAGTCAGATAGACAGTTGGGATAATCAGTTTGAAGTTGTTAGGAACGTATAGAAACTAAGATTAAGAAACTGCCAAGAAAAATTAACTGAAACCTTAAACTTGTTCATGCCTATAAAATAAACTTGATTATTTGTTAACGTTAACAACTGTCTGGACTCCGTGTGTACCCGAGAGAAACGGGTTGGTGGCAGTGGGAAAGCAATCACAGTGGTGGCACAGGGATCAGTAGACCGTCAAACGTCCAGGGACCCTGTGTGATCGCCACAGTACCTAATTTGCACTTTCCAGAATGAAACACCCAACCCAAACGCTGCCATCCCAATTTGCACTTCTCTAAATTTTGCAATGCTGCCAACTAATGGGATAAAAATGCACATACCAGGGTATAGTGTGCATAGAAATAGCATACAGGTGCATTATATCGGAGAAAATTGCTTTGCAAAACTGTGCACAGTGGTACCTTGGTTCTCAAACGCCTTGGTACTCAAACAACTTGGAACCCAAACACTGCAAACCCGGAAGTAAGTTTTCCGGTTTGCGAACTATTTTTGGAAGCTGAATGTGCTCCGGTTTGAGTGCCACGCTTCTGTTTTGAGTGTTACGCTGAGGTCTGTCTGTTTTTACTTCTTCTTTTTTTGCATTTTTGTATTTGCTGCTCTCTTTTTTTGTTTTTGTGACTGTGTGGAACCCAGTTCAGTTACTGATTGATTGATTGTGTGCCTGCAGTACATTGTTTATCGCTTTCATTTTATGGATCAGTGGTCTCGTTAGATAGTCAAATTCATGTTAAATTGCTGTTTTCGGGGTTGTTTGTCTGGAACGGATTAATCTATTTTGCATTACTTTCTGTGGGAAAGCGGGCCTTGGTTTTGGACTTCTGGAACGGATTAAGTTTGAGAACCAAGGGACCACTGTATATGGGAAGAAATTGGCGCTAAAGTGCTGATGAGTTTCGATGAGGACTTATATTAAAAATTTGCAAACTGGTGTGGAAATGTGGAGAACCAGACTTAAGACTGGGGAAAGGTGAAACTGAGAAGAATTAACCTTCAGAGTCACCTGTCCCTGGCTGAACTTTGTGTGGTCCCTCCTGGATCTCTCCTTTCTTCCACTGCCAAACCTCTCCTGATTTCACTTTTCTTTCTTTGTTTCATTACGGTTGCCAGAGCTCACGGCGAAGCGATGATGATGCCTTAGAAGAACAGATCAAGCAGACGAGCGAAGATTCGAGAGCCTTGAGGGAGTTGATGGAAGGCGAAAGGGGGAAACTGAGGCAGAGCCTGGAAGAGCTGCAGCAGCTCCATAGCCAGGTAAACATGCACCTCTGACTATCCGAAGGCCTATCTATCCCAGCAACCTCTTTTCACTCTGGCCAGTCATATGCCAACGAGAAACCGAAACAAGATCTGACCACAGCAACACACCCCTCACCGGCACTTCCCAGCAATTCTTTTTTTTACTATATACAATGGTTCCGTTCCGCGATTCTTTTCGTCTAGCGGTTTTTTCGTCTTGCGAAGCAACCCCATTGGCGGCTAAGCGGATTAGCGCTATTAGCGATTTAGCGCTATTAGCGGCTTAGCGGGCTTAGCGGCTAAGCTGTTAAAAGCCTATTAACGGCTTAGCGGCTTTGAAAAAGGGGGGGGGGAGCAAAAAAAATGGCGAGACTCGCAAGACGTTTTCATCTTGTGAAGCAAGCCCATAGGGAACTTTGTCTTGCGAAGCGCCTCCGCGACGGAAAACCCTTTCGTCTTGTGGGTTTTTCGTCTTGCGAGGCATTCGTCTTGCGGAGCACCACTGTAAATTTTTATTAGCTTTTTTAACATATCATTTTCAACAATAATTAAACATACTTTTATATCTTATACAATTTTTTTACTTCCATCAACCACATCTGAAAATTTTCACTTAATTTACATTTCTTACTTTCACTATTACATTTAAATCGCATAACTAATATCTCTATTCTTTCTCCACTTTGCAATATTTCATATATTTCTCCTTACAAAACTTCTTGTAGTCCTACTAGCGTAATTTGTTGATTACAGTTGCTCTTCAAATAGTTTGTATATTTCGTCCAATCTTCTGTAAATCTCTGGTCCCGCAGGTTTCAAATCTTTCCTGCCATTTTATCCAATTCTGCGTAGTCCATTAATTTTGTCTGCCATTCCTCTTTCGTTGGCGCTTCCCAGCAATTCAGTTGCATACTACCCTGACTAAACTCCTTTGAGCTCATTTGTTTTCTGTTGCTGGTTTGAGTTGTCATGGAATTACGTAGCTTGTTTACATTGTTTCAGTCTTACTGTCCAGTTAAAGGGAGGAGAGGCTTGTGGCTGTTTCAGTATTGCTGGACTATAACTCTCAAAATTCCTCCTGATACCTTGGCCAAGAACATCTGAAGGGCCAGAGGTTGCCCACCCTTGGTTTAATTTTTGTTTGGGGATATCTTACACCAATTTTGGTTCCTGAGAATGAGGAACAGGTTTTTCCTCTATATTTGGATGCAGTCGGACACCATTTTGAATGGTGGACTGAACCTTTCTAAAGCAAAATCGTTTTAACCTCTGATTTCAAAACTCCACTGATGTTTCTTTGTTTCTTAGAATTTCCAAGCAGAGCTGGGCACAAGTATATTAATAAAAAAAAGTCGGCCTGGAAAGGCAGACTATAAAAACTAATAAGCATCAGGCCTCTGAGAGAGGGCCTGCCAAGGAAAGCTTGCCCATCAGGGTGAATGGGGGTCTGTCCCATCAAACTCATTCTGCCCTCAGCCAGGCTCACCTGCCTATTTTCTCACCCAAGAGGAAGTCACTAAAGAGGAATCTAGTCCAACTCTCCGCAATGCAGGAATCACAACTGAAGAATCCCTGACAGATGGCCATCCAGCCTCTGTTTATAAACCTCCAAAGAAGGAGAGGGCACGACTTTCTGAGGGAGTCTGTTCCACCATCAGACAGCTCTTACCATCAGAAAGTCCCTCCTAATGTTTAGTTGGAATCTCATTTCTTGTATTTTGAATCCACTGGTTCGAGTCTGAGCTTTTGCAGCAGCAGAAAACAACCTTGCTCCATCTTCCATCCCCTTAGTCTCAGTGTTGCCCTTCTGGGGCACAGCAGGGAGGAAGATGGAGACAAAAGGAAATTTGGTTGACTCTTGTCTTTCATTGGCTCTGGCACCACCTACTGTTGGGCATCCTTGCCTTCTGCCACACCAGTCCCAATGGGTGCCAGCTGCCCCTGGAGCCTGAGGAGGGAGGCCGGCAAGCAAATGCACTGGTATGTGTGCCCAGTCCTGAATCCTATACAGTGGTACCTCTGGTTACGTACTTAATTCGTTCAGGAGGTCCATTCTTAACCTGAAACTGTTCTTAACCTGAAGCACCACTTTAGCTAATGGGGCCTCCTGCTGCCGCCGCGCCGCCAGAGCACGATTTCTGTTCTCATCCTGAAGCAAAGTTCTTAACCCGAGGTACTATTTCTGGGTTAGCGGAGTCTGTAGCCTGAAGTGTATGTAACCCGAGGTACCACTGTAATCCGCTTCCCCATGTTCCTGTGAACTGATCATTCTCTATATGTGGCGGACTTTGTTGTTTTTGTTGACTTATCTCTATATACTAAATGGATTTAAAACCCACTCCCCTCTTCCCCTCCCCAGCTATACTTTTTCCTTCTGGATCCATTTATGTGGTTTTTTTTTAATTGATTGTAAATCCTTAAGGAACATGGACACGTGTGTGTGTGTGCGCACAAATTTAATTCATTTTAAATTAAGCTGCTGTTGTATTTGCTGGGCCTAACGGTAGGAGATAAGCCCTAAATAGATAGAGAAGACTAGCTGCAAAGCAAAGCTATGTGGTCCTCAAAACTCTGCAGCGGCCAATTTTCAATTTCTCTTGCAACTGAGGGGTGGTGCTGAGGAAATGATTTTTTATAGTGTTTCAGCTAGCTATGGTAACCACGAATTCTGTATTAGTGACCTTGAAATGTTCAAAAATCCTAATGTGGTTCCTTTCACTGATGGGGATTACTTAAAACAGCCTCACTCTAACCTGGTGCCTTTCAGATTGTTAGCCAGCACCGATGAGAGATGAAGTCCAAAACATCTGGAGGACCACCAGTCTGGTTTAAAAACATGAGGTTTGAAAACCAGCATGGTGGCTTTTTCAAGTTTTTCTCCGCTGTAGGTTCTTTTTAGGAATTTAAGGTTTTAATATTTATTCCTACAGCCATGTGGTCTGGCTTACATAAAGCCTCCAGAATGCAGAGTCTCAAGATTGCGACCATTTTTGTTCCTGTCTCCCCCCTCAAAATACCCCATTTATAACTGTGGTTGTGATATGACAAGCACAGCTCCCTATCCACGATCTTTTCCTTGCGGCACCTCCAGAGCGGTCAGTCCAGTCCCTTATTCTTGCCATTCAGTGAGTGACAATCAAAGGTTAATTTTTCTTCCGCTTCTTATCAGGTGACACTACTGAGTGTAGAGATGACTTCCCTGAAAGAGGAACGGGACAGACTCCGGGGATCAGTAGATGATAAGGATATGAGCGAACAACTCTTGAAGGCTATCAGGGATCGGGATGAAGCAATCGCCAAGTAAGCTGGATTATTTTTTAAAGACGTGTGGGGTTGTGACCCCCAGGGAGAGGGGCAGCTGCATCGTGATGGCTTTGTGTGTGACAAGAAGCTCAGTGAAAAGTCAGGGGTGGAGAACCAGTGGCTCTTCAAACGTCATTGGACTCCAACTCCCATCATCCCCAGCCAGCATGATCAACAGTCGGGGTGATTGGAATTGTACCTTGGAATCCTGGAGGGCCACAGGCTCCCCAGGTGTGCTGCAAAAACTTTTCTAGAAAGGTAAAGGGACCCCTGACCATTAGGTCCAGTCGTGACCGACTCTGAGGTTGCAGCGCTCATCTTGCTTTATTGACCGAGGGAGCCGGCGTACAGCTTCCGGGTCATGTGGCCAGCATGACTAAGCTGCTTCTGGTGAACCAGAGCAGCGCATGGAACCGCCATTTACCTTTCGGCTGGAGCGGTACCTATTTATCTACTTGCACTTTGACGTGCTTTCAAACTGCTAGGTTGGCAGGAGCAGGGACCGAGCAACAGGAGCTCACCCCGTCGCGGGGATTCGAACCGCCGACCTTCTGATCGGCAAGTCCTAGGCTCTGTGGTTTAACCCACAGCGCCACCCGCATCCCTGTTCTTTTCTATATAGAATAATTAATTTGCAATCCTGCAGAGCTGGGGAACGTAGCAGGTAGCCAGAAACAGTGTACATCAAGCAGATGCAAAACCTCCATCATGCATGTGAATGTGTATTGTTTTGAATCCATGGAGAAGGGCAAAATCAAAACCCCAAAATGCACCAAAATTAATCTGCTGCTTAGTTTGATTATGTCAGCCTTCCTTAGCTAGGTCCCCTCTAGATGTTTTTGGCTGCAGCTTCCCTAAGGCCCAGCCAGCGCAGCCAATGGTCAGGGAGCTGGAGTCATAGCAAACTGCCTTATATTTACACCTTATTCCATTGGGAAAGATGGAGGGCACAAGGAGAAGGGGACGACAGAGGACGAGATGGTTGTACAGTGTTCTCGAAGCTACCAGCATGAGTCTGACCAAACTGCGGGAGGCAGTGGAAGACAGAAGTGCCTGGTGTGCTCTGCTCCATGGGGTCACGAAGAGTTGGACACGACTAAAAGTCTAAACAACAAATGCCATTGGTCCATCTAACTCAGTATTGTCCAGCTTATTGGTAGCAGCTATTTAGAGTTTCAAATGCGGGACATTCCCAGCCCTACCTGGAGATGCCAGGAATCGAAACAAGAGACTTTCTACATACAAAGCAGATGTTCTACCACTGAGCCACCACCCTTCCCATTTACAGAATATTACAGTTTATCTGGGTCTCAAACCCTTGTTGTTAGTTAGGGACTTCCTTTGCATGCACAGACAGGCTCTGGCAGATTGAGCGGGCGATACCAATAGTTTCTCCAACAGTCAAGAAGGTGGTTTCTGCACTTGCCATAGAGGGAGATGAGAGGTAGATGGGGCTCAACAGCCTGGGAAGGTAGCCCATCTAGGAGAAGGAAAACTCTAATCCTAATCCTCTGCTGCCTTATGGGATATTTTGGGGAGAAAAAAAATCTAGAGTGGAGTCCCTGAGACAGTTGGGTGGTGCCTTGTATACTGAGAGAGGGCTCTTATCGTCTGTACAGTGGTACCTCGGGTTACAGACGCTTCAGGTTACAGACTCCGCTAACCCAGAAATAGTACCTCAGGTTAAGAACTTTGCTTCAGGATGAGAACAGAAATCGTGCTCCAGCGGCGTGGCAGCAGCAGGAGGCCCCATTAGCTAAAGTGGTGCTTCAGGTTAAGAACAGTTTCCGGTTAAGAACGGACCTCCAGAATGAATTAAGTTCTTAACCCGAGGTACCACTGTACAGCCCAGGACCTCCATACACACTGCCCAGGTTTTGCACCCCAGAGAAGTCATGTTTGGCTTGACTTCACCCCCGGAGGCACACTCCATTGTCTGAGACAGATGGATGCCAACAACAGCAGCTTATCAACAGGCTTTTTGCCAGGTCTTCAGCCATTTTGCCTCTGGACCACCCACACTGATGTATAGCTGTCCTTACAGAGTACTGGTAGGAATGCCAAAGTGATATTGTTAAATCTGTCTTTTTAAAATTATTGATCCATTATCCTAATTGCCACTCAGTGGTGATTTAGCCTCCTTGCCAGTTACGAACATTAGGAAGCTGTCTTATTATCAGATCATGGGTCCACCTAGCTTAGTTTTGTTTATACCAACTGGTAGTGATCCTCCCCTAGGACTTGCCAATCAGAAGGTTGGCAGTTTCGAATCCCTGCAAGGGGGTGAGCTCCCTTGTTCAGTCCCTGCTCCTGCCAACCTAGCAGTTTGAAAGCACGTCAAGTGCAAGTAGATAAATAGGTACCGCTCCGGCGGGAAGGTAAACGGCGTTTCCGTGTGCTGCTCTGGTTCACCAGAAGCGGCTTAGTCATGCTGGCCACAGGACCCGGAAGCTGTACGCCGGCTCCCTCGGCCAATAAAGCGAGATGAGTGCCGCAACCCCAGAGTCGGTCACGACTGTACCTAATGGTCAGGGGTCCATTTACCTTTTTAGTGGTCCTCCAGGATTTCAGAGGTGTCTCTCTCCTGTCCCTACCTGGGGAGGGTATGAATTGATCCTGGGACTTTCTGTATGCAAAGCAGATGTTCTACCATGGAGCTATGGTCCTTTCCCAAAATATAAATTATTTCTTATATATTTATATTTCCCCAAATATAAATCATTTCTTATATTTGCCGTACACGGGACACAACCAGATTTGTATTGGGGGAAGCTATGCAATGGCTCAATCTCCTTATCTTCAAGGACTCTGTCACCATCATCACTCAAGGGGACCTTTTCAGCACGTAGAACAGGAAGCATACAGATCTCTGTTTAAAGAGCCATTGTTGCGCTGCCACCTGTTGGCTAAGGGAAGGAACTGCCAACTGCTGAGTTTTGGATGCAAAAGGCAGCTTTTGATATTTTAGTATGTGTGTGGGTTACTGGCTCTCCTGTATCCATGGAAACCAGCTGCCGTTCTGGGGCTGTACGAGTCCCAGTGTTTTTAATATTCATTCAGCAGTAAGGGGATTTTGCAGTGCAGGACTTACTTGTTCTGGTCATCTATCTTGGAAGCTGCAGTTATATTTTGCTGAAACGTGACCCGTGATACATCTTAAAATACAGATATATTAATTTAAACAAACCTATCCCTCTTTCCAGGGACGCGGGTGGCGCTGTGGGTTAAACCACAGAGCCTAGGCCTTGCCGATCAGAAGGTCGGCGGTTCGAATCCCCGCGACGGGGTGAGCTCCCATTGCTCAGTCCCTGCTCCTGCCAACCTAGCAGTTCGAAAGCACGTCAAAGTGCAAGTAGATAAATAGGTACCACTCTGGCGGGAAGGTAAACGGCGTCTCCGTGCTCTGCTCTGGTTCGCCAGAAGCGGCTTAGTCATGCTGGCCACATGACCTGGAAACTGTACGCCGGCTCCCTCGGCCAATAAAGCGAGATGAGCGCCGCAACCCCAGAGTCAGCCACGACTGGACCTAATGGTCAGGGGTCCCTTTACCTTTACCTATCCCTCTTTCCAGGCTCTGGGATGGTTCAAGGCAGCAGACAGGTTTAGCTTTGATTCCAGTGCTGTTCCACATAGGGGAAGATCTGTAAGTCAGTGATAGAGCACCTGCTTGGCATGCAGAAGGTCCCAAGTTCCTTCAAATCCTGCTGCACTCAAATCCTGCTTGCAGACTTTCTGTATGCATCTGGTTGGCCACTGTGTGAACAGGATGCTGGACTAGATGGGCCACTGGCCTGGTCCGGCAGAGTTTTCCTTTAATGAAGCAGAAGCTGTGTGGCCACCTATCAGAAATGCTATAATAATGGAATTCCTGCATTGACTGGGTGGTTGGACTTGATTACCTTTGAGGATCTCTTACATCTCTATGAGTCTGTGAAATGCCATGTACAGTGCTACCTCAGGTTACATATGCTTCAGGTTACAGACGCTTCAGGTTACAGACTCTGCTAACCCAGAAATAGTACCTTGGGTTAAGAACTTTGCTTCAGGATAGCAGAGATAGGGAACCCGTGGCCCACCATACACTGTTGGACTACAACTCCCATCATCTCTTACTATTGGCCATGGTGGCTGGACCCAACAGGAAATGGAATCCACCACCACAGGTTCCCCAACCCTGTCACAGACCATTATTCCACACACACACACCCCAAAAGAAAAATCCTTTGGAAAAACTGACCCAAATAATTTGAGGAGAAATCCAAACATTTCTAAAATGTTACTTGTGAAGAAATGTGAAAAGTCATTAAATCCCCTCCCCCACTGCAGTCCAACTTTCTTTGGAGAGGTATAAACGTTGGCCCCATCAAATAAAATGGATTACTGCTGGGACCCTTTTCCTCCTTAAAATACTGAACTGCATTCCACTACTATAGCAACCCGCAGCAAGTACAGTGGTACCTCGGGTTACAGACACTTCAGGTTACAGACGCTTCAGGTTACAGACTCTGCTAACCTAGAAATAGTACCTTGGGTTAAGAACTTTGCTTCAGGATGAGAACAGAAATCATGCAGCAGCAGGAGGCCCCATTAGCTAAAGTGGTACATCAGGTTAAGAACAAACCTCCAGAACGAATTAAGTTCTTAACCCGAGGTACCACTGTACGCAAGTTCACCCTCTTGTATTTCATACAATCCAGTACAGTGGTACTTCGGGTTACAAACACCTCAGGTTACAAACACTTCGGGTTACAGACTCTGCTAACCCGGAAGTAGTACCTCGGGTTAAGAACTTTACCTCAGGATGAGAACAGAAATCATGTGCCAGCGGCAGTGGGAGGCCCCATTAGCTAAAGTGGTACCTCAGGTTAAGAACGGTTTCAGGTTAAGAACGGACCTCTGGAACGAATTAAGTTCGTAACCAGAGGTACCACTGTATAATGATCACCTCCCCTGACTCCCTGGGCCACTTTTGTTAGCACAGTCCTTATTAAGGCCCCCCAGCCTTCCTTCCCCCTTTCAGTCCTTCTGCTGTTCTACTTCTGCGGTGTTTTGAACTCTTTTCAGCCAGATCAGTGGGTGGGTAGAAGAGGTCTTTCCAGGCAGCCTCATCCCCAATTTGTAGAGGACCATCTGGTGACTCAGGGTGCTTCCAGATTACCTGTTTATTGAGCACTCGTCCTGATTGGTTTGCAAGAAGATTTGACCGCAGTGGCATTCATTTTGATTTGTTTGGTGGGGTTAGCTGACGTTATGTTATCTATCTATCTATCTATCTATCTATCTATCTGTCTATCTCTTACTGCCAACTTCGGCTTCTAAGCAGCTTACATGTATAAAAATTGATTACATGTGTGAATATATAAACCTCCCTAATTAAAGTACATGATAAAACAACCCCATTAAAACATGCCGTAATTAAGTAAAAAAGTAAATTTTCTTACTTTTATGTCTTGATGTTTTCTTTTTCTTTTTGTATTTAACTCTTCTATACTTACCTTCGTTGTACATTTGTATTTTAAACCAATAAAGATTTACCATGGAGAAAAATAAATAAATAAAAACAAAACATGCCATAATTAAAATAGGAAGAGATCAACGGAAAATAACAGTCACATCTTCAAAAGCTGGCAGAATGCCAGTTGGACTCCCAACTTCCATGAGACCCAGCCAGCATGACCAATGGTTAGGGGTGATGGGAGTTGGCGTGCAATGACGTCCGGAGGGCACCATATTGCCTTCCTCTGTGTTCACGCATGGACCGTCCTTTATTGTCCTTGAATTGCCACGTTGCTCGGGCTGTTTCTAAATCCAAAGAGCAAGCAATGGCAGAGGGTCTCCCGAGAAATGAATCTGACCGTCTTCTGCTTTTGCTTTTCAGGAAGAACGCTGTCGAAATGGAGCTAGCCAAATGCAAGATGGACATGATGTCACTGAATAGTCAGCTCTTGGATGCTATTCAGCAGAAGCTTAACCTTTCGCAGCAGCTGGAGGCGTGGCAGGTAAGAGGGAAAGGGGAGTGTGGAGTAACAGTACAGAGCCCTCCTCCCCAGCCCCTATGCTCTTAAGTCAGAAATGCTTTGCGGATTCCACCAGAAGTCCCTTTTTTGTGCGTTCATCCTGGTTCACTTGCCTAAACCTTGCACAGCGGTGACATACATGCATGTGTTATTGAACTAGGCCTGATTTTCCTACTTCCCTGTGATCAACAGAAACCTCCCCCTGGTTGACCTTTTCCCACCCCAGTTTTCAACTTCTCCGTCTTCTCCTCTCTCTCTTTCTCTCTCTCTCTTCTCTCCTCTGCTTCCAGTTTGCTTCCTCAGGCCTTTTTACAATATGGCTCCTTTGGTTTCTGATCTAGTGTGGCCTTTCTCAGTTCCCGTAACAACAGCTTTAGTCGTACACCCCTCCTGCCTTTAAGGTGAGCGCCCACCCACCTCTCTCCTTAACCACCTCATCCTGTTTCATCTCATCCCAGTTCAGTTTCACTGCATCCTCCGGGGGGAAAGAATGCGAGCATCTCATAGGCACCTACAGAATCAACTCTGTGGGCACGTCGCTCTTTTCATCTTCCATGAGCATGTCACAGTTTCTCTCTCTCTCTCCTCAAAAGTACCTTTCTGAATTTGCTTGCCTGTCTTGTGGACTAGTGTCTCTCTTTTTTTAAAACACATGCTTTCCTTTCCAGATCATGGACTTGTAGTAACATTGAAATATACTCAGTCGAGTGTGGATTTCATGCTCTTTATTCAGCTCATAGTAGTGAGGAATGAAAGTTCCCCCAAAACATTTGCTTTATATACCGTATTTTTCGCCCTATAGGACGCACTTTTCCCCCTCCAAAAATGGAGGGGAAATGTGTGTGCGTCCTATGGGGCGAATGCAGGCTTTCGCTGAAGCCTGGAGAGCGAGAGGGGTCGGTGCGCACCGACCCCTCTCGCTCTCCAGGCTTCAGGCAGCTCTGCGCAACCCTAGGGAGCCCAGCGCAAAGTCGCGCCGGTCTCCCGAGGTCTGCGCAGAGCTGCCTGCAGCCCTGGGCTTCGCGCAGCTCTGCGCAGCCCTAGGGAGCCCAGCACGAAGTTGACTTCTTGCCGGGCTCCTTAGACTTGCAGATAGCAGGCTGTTCTCGGGGCTGGGGTTGGGGGAAGCTCAGGCTTCCCCTGCACCAGCCCCGCGCCTGGGGGGGAAATAAAATTTTTTTTCTTTATTTCCCCCCCTCAAAAACCTAGGTGCGTCCTATGGGGCGGTGTGCCCTATGGGGTGAAAAATACGGTACATTATTTACACAATGGGCCGCACATGATTGGCTAATTCCTGGATTCTCCTGTAGGCCAATCAGGTTGCGGATTCATTTCCACCTGGAGCTGGATTGGGTGGCCCCTGCGGATCAGACTGCTGTATTGTTCTAGGACCAATCAGACTGCTGCATTTTGGATCCTATTGTTCTAGGACCAATCAGACTGCTGCATTCTGAATCCTATTGTTCTAGGACCAATCAGACTGCTGCATTTGGATCCTATTCAACTCAGTACATAACAAACATCTTGCATTATTATTATTCCAGCAATTAGAATGCAGAAGCATAGATACCTTCAAAGGTGGAGGTGTAGCGTAGCCATCATGGCTAGTAGCCATTGATAGCCTTATCTAGTGCAATTTTTCTAGAAAAAGAGGTGCCAGAACTCACCACGAATGTCTCCCTCGTTCTCTTAGAATGGCAATGGGGCCCACCTGAGATGTGCCAGAACTGAGCCCTGGCCTTATTCTCCGCTGCGAGGTTATCTGATCCTCTTTTAAAGCCATCCAAGCTGGTGGCCATTCCTGCATCCTGCGTGAGGTCCTAGTTTAACTGTGCACTGTGTGAAGAAGGTCCTTTTTCAAAATCTGTCCTGGCCCAAAATGCCCAAAGAGTCTAAAGAGGGTGGGGGAGGGGGAGTGCCATAGATTGAACTTGAAAATGAACTAGAAATTGCTCATGAATTTAATTCACATTCAGTTCACCTGGAAATTGTGGGGAAAACATAGTTAGTCAGTAAACTTTGTTAAACCACACTAGTTCATTCCAAGCACTGTTTAGAACTAAATCACTGAGCACATATAGTTCCAGGGTGGGGAGCTCTTGATTTCCACGCAGAAGGTCCCTGGTTCAATCCCCAGCCTCTCCAGGTAGGACTGGGAAAGGCTTCCTCAACCTTGGCCCTCCAAATGTTTTTGGCCTACAACTCCCATGATCCCTAGCTCGCAGGACCAGTGGTCAGGGATGATGGGAATTGTAGTCTCAAAAGCATCTGGAGGGTCGAGGTTGAGGAAGCCTGCCCTATATCCTAGAGAGCTGCTGCCAGTCAGTGTTGATAATATTGAGCTTCATGGACCAATGATGATTTTTCCTCCAAAGACCTCTAAGTGGTGCATATGACTCTTCCCTTTAACATCTTCTTCTCACAACAACCCTGTGAGGTAGGTTAGGCTGAGGGACTGTGATGGAGGAAGAGGAGTGCGGGAGCAGCGCAATCCCAGTAGGGTGCCATCGTGGCTGCCCCCCCCCCGCCTGCCCCCAGGCGGCATGCCACACCCCCAGGACGCCTGTCATGCCCCTGTGGGAGGCGTGTCACACCTCTGGGATGCGCACCAGCCCCGCCCCCAACCGCACTCTGCGCCACCCGCCCCGGTGCCGGAGCATGAAGCTCTGCCACTGACTGTGATTGGCCTGGGGTCAGCCAGTGAGCAGAGCAGGCATTTGAACCGTGGTCTCCCTGGTCCCAGGGATGCGGGTGGCGCTGTGGGTTAAACCACAGAGCCTAGGACTTGCCGATCAGAAGGTCGGCGGTTTGAATCCCCGCGACGGGGTGAGCTCCCGTTGCTCAGTCCCTGCTCCTGCCAAGCTAGCAGTTCAAAAGCGCGTCAAAGTGCAAGTAGATAAATAGGTACCGCTCCGGTGGGAAAGTAAATGGCGTATCCGTGCGCTGCTCTGGTTTGCCAGAAGCAGCTTAGTCATGCTGGCCACATGACCCGGAAGCTGTATGCCGGCTCCCTCGGCCAATAAAGCGAGATGAGCGCCGCAACCCTAGAGTCGGCCATGACTGGGCCTAATGGTCAGGGGTCCCTTTACCTCCCTGGTCCCAGTTTAACACCCTAACCACTACACTGCCAGTGATGCTGTGGAGCATTTTGCTCAGCTGGCGGATAGATGCATGTTGTTTTGTTTTGGCCCCATGTGCCCCTCTCCCCAGCAAGATGACTCATAATCACAAGCTGAAAGCATTGTATAATAAGAACGTGGAATGGAGAACTTCAAACCGCTCCCTGTCTTCCTGTTTAGATCAGCCCTTTATTCACAGCCATGACGACGGGGATCTTTACTTTCAGTGGGAAGGCCAAAGCAAAGGGGTCAAGCATCTGCTTTGCATGCAGAAGCTCCCAGGTTTCAGTCCCCAGCATCTCCAGGTAAGGCTGGGATAGACTCCTGCCATAATCCCTGGAGAGCTGCTGCCCATTGCTGCTTATATGAACACTGGCCTGTAGCTCAGTGGGAGACCAGATAGGGATGGAAAAAGCCCCCCCTCTATGAAACCCTGGAAAGATACGGAGGTCAGTACTGGGCCAGATGGACCAGTGATCCGACTTGGTGTCAGGAGTCCCGTTTCTCCGCCTGAGACGAAATGGGAACATGCTGTGCTGCAGCCTTACTTAGCTGGTTGCTTGGTGGTGGCTACAAAATGGAGGCAATGGCGGGTTCCAGCGAGACCTTGTGCGCTCCGCAAGATCTCACCAGAAGCCAGCACTGCTTCTTGGCCAGCAGAAGTGGCAGAGCATACATGGGGTCTCTGCTTCTTTGGTTTCTGCTGCCTGAGGCAGCTGCATCACCCCACCTCACGGGTGGTCAGCCGTGCTTGGTATATTTCTATCCCTGTGTACCCCTTCCTACAAGCAGCCCCTCCAGTCTCTTCCATTTGAATTTCCTGTCTCCTCTTTCTCTCCCCAGCTTGTCTTGCCTTCTCCAGCCCTCACTTCTGACTCGATCGCTCAGTAGAAATGAGAACAGCCAGGCCTGCTCCCATGACCAAAACAACTTTCTTTAACGCAGGGATGGGGAATCTGTGACGCTCCAGAGCAGGGGTCAGCAAACTTTTTCAGCAGGGGGCTGGTCCACTGGCCCTCAGACCTTGTGGGGGACCAGATGATATTTTGATGGGAAAAAATGAACGAATTCCTATGCCCCACAAATAACCCAAAGATGCATTTTAAATACAGTGGTACCTCAGGTTACATACGCTTCAGGTTACAGACTCTGCTAACCCAGAAATAGTGCTTCAGGTTAAGAACTTTGCTTCAGGATGAGAACAGAAATCGTGCTCCGGCGGCGCAGCAGCAGCAGGAGGCCCCATTAGCTAAAGTGGCGCTTCAGGTTAAGAACAGTTTCAGGTTAAGTACGGACCTCTGGAACGAATTAAGTACTTAACCCGACGTATCACTGTAAAAGGACACATTCTACTCATGTAAAAACATGCTGATTCCCGGACTATCCGTGGGCTGGATTTAGAAGGTGATTGGACTGGATCCGGCCCTTAGTTTGCCTACCCATTCTCCAGAGGCATACCTTTCAAGTGACCCGGAAAAAAGGGGCATCTCGTTTTCTCTTGCGAGATCTCGGTAGTCATTTTGGGTGCTGCGATCTTGCATGCTCTCGTGCTGCGCTCTTGCCTCGAAAAAGCACTTTTTTGGAGAGCGAGTGAGGCGCAGGTCACATGACTCCCCTGGGAATGCGTCCTGGAAGATGCATGTCTTGGTTTTGCATCAGAAAAAGTTGGAAGGAATGCAGAGGTTGTTGGCTTCCAACTTCCATCATCACCAGCCAGCATCAGGGATGGTGGGAATTGTAGTCCCACAACCTTGGGAGGTCCACAGGTTCCACATCCCTGATGTTAAAGCCTGAAATATCTTTTGTGTGTGTTCTTTTTAAAAAAAATCACTTCCATTATTTGGGGGGCAGGGGTATTCTAGAAATGAACCCTTCCTTGGCATGCTCTTTGAAATTGCTAGGCCAAAGGGGATTTGCATATAGAGTGGTACCTCTGGATGCGAATGGGATCCATTCCCGAGTCCCATTCGCATCCTGAAGCAAAAGCAGCCCACGTCTGTGCGTGCGCGGGTCACAATTCACCACTTCCGCGCATGTGCATGACGTCATTTTGAGTGTCTGCGCATGCGCGAGTGGCAAAACCCAGAAGTAACGCATTCCATTACTGCCGGGTTGCCGCAGAGCGCAACCAGAAAACGCTCAACCCAAAGCTACTTCAACCCCATGTATGACTGTAGATCAGGGGTTAGCAACCTAAGGCCCATGCGTTTAACCGGCCCATTAGCCACCCCCGAACTGAGCCGCCCGCTTAGTGAGTCCCTGCGCTCTGCACTAAGCTGGTGCAGTGCGGCATGGGGACTCGCTTCTGTGGCACCGGAAATCACGTCTGTGCAGACGCCGGAAATCACAGTCGCGCTCGCTCACACGCGCAATCCAGCCCATGGCGGGATCTCCGCTGGAGTGAACCGGCCCAGGCCAGGTAAACCTTGCCGACCCCTAATATAGATGATAGCCAATTGGCTGCTTACCAGACATGTAAAACAGTGGTGGCTGGTGCCCTTTGAGACAGGTGGAGCGGCAGGCAGGGAGCCCGACAGTAGGTGGCGCCAGAGCCAATGACGGGCAGAACCAACTAGTTCTAGGTTTGTTCCCATCCTCCTCCCTGCTGAGTTGTACAAGGGCAACAGAGAGACTATGGAGGAAGAAGCAGCTGGCAGGCAAAAACACCCCCTGGACTGGGTGCAAGTAAGAAGGCAGGCTGGCAGGTGAGGGCTGGCAAAGGGCAGGCTGAGATTGGTGGGATAATGCCCTGGTCAGCCTAATGGACCAGCCTCTCTGCAGGTGTAAGATGAGGCCTCAGAGCTAGGTGACTGGCTGTGTCTGTTTTACTGATGCTGGCGGTGATATGGTAGGAGTGAAGTGTGTGTGTTTCTGCATGAGTGCACAGACGTCTTCGCTGTGTCCATGTGCATTTGATGGTTGTTCCTAGCAACCGAGCCCTTGCTGTGATGATAATCCATGTGTCAGATGGAAATTCTTGTTTCTTTCCTCTTGGCTTCACTGATTTCTGGTTAATAACGATTCCCCCCAACCCTCCTTTTAGTGCTAGAGTCTGCTTGTCATGCAGCTCATTCCTCCCATTACATAAGCCCCGAGTGCAAAAAGCTTTGATGGCTGAGAGAGAACTCATGGCAAGATTCTTGGAGCTATTTCACCTCAATTTAGCATTTAAGTGATCTACAGGCACTACAGTTTAAATAATGGTACCCAAATGCCCTTTGCCATGATGCACAAGGAATGTGTTTCTGTGCAGAGGCAGAACTTAGTATGCCTATCTGTGTATAATACTGCTACCACTAGTACTTCTTCTACTACTACTTTTTCTTATTAGACATTTTTATCCCACTCTTCAGCCAATAAAGGCTCCCAGAGCAGCTTACAAATAATCAGTGGGAAGACATGTTCTCACAATCTAAGAATTCATGACACAAGAGGAAAACGAGTTAGGGAGGGGAGAGGAAAAAAGCAGGCTCAGGCCCTAGTTATTAGTTACAGATATTTTGCAACGGGAAGAGTAATGGGAAATAAAATTGGCAGAGGAGGCAAACGTTGCTGGTTTTCAGTTGAGCCAATGTACAGAGTCCGATCTCTCCCTCTCCTGCTGAGCTCTCTGCCTACAGGAGCGCTGTGTTTGTGGAGGCTGGGCTGGCCGCTATTCTGCATTTGTGACTTTGTTTGCAGAAGCCGGCACAGCCATTTATTTATATGGGTGGGAGGGAGTAAAAGAGAACATTTTTGGCAGCATGACTGAAGGGAGAGGGGGACCCCAGAGCCTGAGGATGGCCCAGGTTTTGCTGCTTCTCGGCCTTCCCAGAATTTGGCCCCTTTATGTTTGTTTTATCCCTCCTGCTCTCTCTTTGTCCTTCCTGTTAACAGCGTTCCTTCTTTCCTTCCTGCCGCAGGATGACATGCAGAGGGTCATTGACCAGCAGCTGATGGACAAACATCCAAAGGAGTGGAGCCAGCCCACCTATTCCTTCTCCAGCGGTCACGGGGCAAAGCGGCGCACTAGACCCTCCCCCTTGCTGAGGCCAGAGCAGCAGGAGTCAGAGCCCAGCGGGGCAGAAGGGAACCGCCTCTTTTCTTTTTTCAAGAAAAATTAATTGGACAAGAGCAACCACTCTCCATTCCTTTTTTTCCCCCTTCCCTTTTCCTTTTTTATTTTTATTTTTTGAGATGAAGGCTGCTGGAGAGAGATTCAGCAAGCCCAGCTTGTGATGGATGACGGTCTCCAATTCCGGTCACAGAAGAAGCCGCCAAAAAAGAAAAGAAAAAAAGGGGGGCAAGGAGTCCCGTCCCCCACCCTTAAGAACACTGCACTAATCTTGCAGGCTGCGTGGTCTGAACTCAATGTTTACATGCGTCATAGTCCAATCGCCGGTCTTCTGCGCGATAGCAATTGAAAAGGACACTCTTTGATACCTTAAAGCAACATGATAAGAAAACACACAACCTTCAGGGTCTCTTGTTAGGTCCACTCTGTTTCTGCTGTGAGTAATCCAGATGTCTTAAAAGTCATTCTCTTCTGCAAAAAGAGGAAACTTTAAAGGACCAGTTAAGATGTAGGAGCCAAGGAAGGGCCGGGGGCCGGGGGGGGGCAGACGGGGAAGAGAGAGAAAGGGGGAAATACCCATTCATTTTATTGGCTGAGTTTCCATTCTTTTCATCAGACCAGAGGGCAACAGGTTGGCAAAGGCCGGTCATGCTTATCTGTCCATTTTTCAAAAATGAGAGAGAGAGAGAGAGAGAGAGAGAGAGAGAGAGAGAGAGAGAGCAGTCGTGGCTTCTGGTTTGGGCAGAGCCAGGCAGAACTCAACAGATGGAGGAGTGTTTGTGCTCTGTCCTGGTCTCTCTCAGGGTGGGTGACTAAGCAAAAATGTAAGCACACTGAAGGCAGTTCAGCTTCCACGTCAGCTCTGTTCCCTGCTCTCCTTTCCCAAAGGTTGTGGCTGCAAGGAAATGGGCAAGTCTCTAGCCAGCTGGAAGTTGCAAGTATGCTGCAGCAGGAGTCTAAGAGGGGCAGCCGCTCCTGTGCCTAAACAAGCACCATACCCAACAAGCAAAACAATCCCTGGACAAATCCTGCTGTCTCTGCTTGTGAGAACCAGAGCCCAGGTTTTTGCAAATCCTTGGAATTCACAGTATTCCCCCACCTCCTCTCCCAAGTTTTTGGGACCACTTGCTGTCTTCTAACCCTTAGGCCAGGGCTGGCCACGTGGTGCCGTCCAGATCTTGTTGGACTACAGTTCCCAATATTATGAATCTTTGGCCATGCTGGCAGGGGCTGATGGGAGTCCAACAAGATCTGGAGGGCACCATGCTGGCAAGGGCAAGTGGCAAGTGCCGCCCTGCCCTGCCAGTGACAGAGAAGTGGTGCCAGCCTCGGCGCCAATTTTGGGAGAGATCTTGCATGTAATCCTGAAATCAGCACCAATGCCTGTGCTGGCAGTGGTCTGCCCACAGAGGTGCTGCCTTGGGGGCTTTTGCTGCCTGAGGCAGTGGCCTCACCCCACTAGCCCTGATGTTGGCTATCTCTGCCTAGGTGCTACCCCCCCCCCCTGCTGCTATTGTGAGGTTAAATTGGGAGTGAGGCTCATGGAAGAATAGAAATGACAGGAGCGTGGCATTTTCACAAAGGGTAGGCTCTACTGCTGAGATGCGGGAGCTGTTGAGACTTCACTCTGATCCTCACTGACTCCCAACCAGCATGGTCAATGGTCAGGGATACTAGGAGTTGGGGTCACAGGTTCCTCACCCCAGCATAGGTTAATCCAGATTCCATCATTTCTTGGCATGGTAGTGTTCTAGGCTAGGGGGAGCCAACATGATGCCCTGTGGGTGCTGTTGGGACACCCAATGTCTTGACTATTGGGCCTGTTGAGAATCCATCTTCAAATTGGAGGAAGGTTTGGGGGAGCTCCAATCTAGAAGTGGCAGAGCTGAGATGCAGGTGGACTTTATGAGAACAAGTCCTTTTCAAACCATAGACAGTAGGTGGTGTATGAACGCCCAGTCTGCTGTTCTATCTTCTCTTGGCCCTCCAAAAACAGAAACCCAACTCTTGCACCTGCTGCAGATGCCCTTCACAGCTGGAGCAGCCAGCAGAAATAAACTTGTCCCTTATAGATTTAGATTTAGTGCACACTATACATTTGAAGCACATTTCCCCCTTAGAATTCTGGGCACTAAAGTTTGCTAAGAGTTGCTGGGAATTGTAACTCTGTAAGGGATAAACCACAGTGCCCAGAATTATTTAAGGGAAAGAATGTATTTTAAAGATATAGTGTGTTACAGTCTTAATCTGGTAACTGGCTGTTAGAGCAGAATGCTTGCAAGGGAAAGACAATAGCTTATGAAAAGGATGAGAAACCTGTAGCCTACTGGCTGCTGTTTAACTACAGTTCCCATCATGCCCCTAACTATGTCGGCTGGGGTTGATGAGTGCGGCAGTCCAACATACGGAGGTCCGTGGGACAGATAGTGCTGGTTTATGTAGAAAGGAATCCCTGCGCTGTGAGTTCTGTTATACCAGGGGTGGGGAACCTGTTGTTACTGGAATCCCATCTGCCCCCAGCCAGCCTGGCCAATGGTCAGGAGTTGTAGTTCAGCAGTATCTAGCCCATAGGTTCCTGATCCCTGCATTACACCAGTCTGGAACAGAACCAGAGTGGCAACATTCATAAAGGTATTCTGGTTAAAATAGTGTGTAACAGAACCAGTTATCTATATCCATACACTGGTTTGGCAGACAGCATCCTTGAGCACTGTGGGTCTTCCTTTTGAGTAAAAGCATGCATAGGGTGAGGCTGAAATCTTAGGGGGGTGGGAAGGAAAGCAGCGTCTTTCCTAAAATGTGATACACCATATTTTGCCGCCTTCTCCTGAAAGGTTAGCTGCTGCCCACTGCATTATGGGATAGTGAACTGAAAGCAATAACGAGAGAACAGGGAGGGCTGGTCTCCCTCCCCCCCCCCCGCCTTGAGAAACCTGACAGCCACACTTGTAGACTGTTTCCAGGAGTTGCCAGTCCCCCACCCACGCTCTCTGTGGAGCATTGCCATCTGTCATAACAGCACAGCTCCACGCCCCCCCACCTCCAGCCACATCATATTGTGATATTATTGAACTACACAGCCAGGGGTGATGGAGCTTCGTGACAGGAGTGGGGAGCTCCATTAATTTGGGAGAAGAGGGTGGCTGCAGAGCAATTGCAAGGAGCCACACTGCCCGTTTTATCTCCCCCCTCCCCACATTAGCTGAAAATCCTCACTAGGGGCATCAGTTGTGGTATCACTACCTAAAGATCAGACCAGACAAACAAAACATTGCACAGATTCATTCAGTTAATTCTTGCACCTAAAAGTACACCATGGTATATTTTGGAACAGGAAAGGGAAAACTGTGTCCTGTTCCACCCGCCACCCCCATTCTGGGGACTGCGACTCCCATCAGCCTCAGCCATTGTGATCCAGCTGGAGTCCAACAACAGCCCAAGGGCTGCAGTCGTTCCCCTCTGTGTTTTAGAGCCTGGCATGTGTTTTGCCTGTAAGCAGGAGGCAGACTGATAATGCAAGAGGGGCACTTGTAGAGTCTCTGGCTCCCTCCATCATTGATCACTGCCAAGTAGCTAACCTTTCCTTAGGAGGAGCAAAGAAAGCTACAGTAAAACAGTGGCAGGAGAGAGATGGCCCACAGCTCCTGCTTTCCCTGTGTATGGCTATCTGGGATCCTTTTCAGCTTTCTCTGGCTGTGGGTTGGGCAGGCTCAGCATTGTCAAGAAGGAAGCAGAGCTAGCAAGCCCCATGGGTACACTTCACACTGGAGGTGCAATGGGCCACCAAGTCTATTGCCTATAGCAAAAAAGAAAGTAATCAGGATCCAGAGAGGCCCAGTTCCACATGGCAAAACTGATCCTCATTTTTACCATTTGGAGGAGGGCAAGAGAGATTGCATGGGTGAATGCCTGTCTGTAATAAAATAAATCCCTGCACATCAAAAACTTGCCTACCAGGAAAGAAGGCAACTCTAGAACATTTCTCAAAGTTTTATTTTATGTGCAATTAAGAAGAAGAAAAATGAGGAGCATTCAGTTGCTCAATTCCCCATTATAGAGCCCGAAGTAATATAGCCCAGGAAGTGAGCAGTACATAGCCTTTTTAAGAACATCGTAAGAACCTTCTTGCCGGATCAGGCCCATCTATTCCAGTATCCTGTTCTCACGGTAGCCAACCAGCCCTTTTCACACACGATTTGATCTAGGCTGTAAGCCAGAGCTGGGGCAAGCCTACAGTCCTTCAGACATTTCTGGACTCTCAGTGCCCATCATCCGTCACCCACTGGCCATGTTGGTGGGGCTAATGGGAACTGGAGTCTAACAACAGCTGGAGGGCCAGAGGTTGCCCAGCCCATCATAAGGGAACTAGGAACCTACTAGCAATGAGCATTCCCCACAGACCATGGCAGGTTCTGGGGACAGTTTGCACCTCCAGAGGCCCTCGGATCTGGATCTGTCAGCGTTCCCCACTTCAGCAGCTCAAGCCGCTTACCCAAAAGTAAAGCGAGATGTGCCTGGGAGCTGCATCAATAGGCTTCCCCCACCCTGCCCAAAGCCCTTGGAAACCAAGCACACAGCAGGGATGAACAGACAGAATGTATCTATAGAGGTATATGTACATATTACACAGTGCAGTAATTTTTGTATGTAGCAGTAATGTAAATAAATGTACTTTTTATATAAATATATATAAGATATTCTATAAAGGCATATTTTAGTAGAAAACGCCGCTCTACTGCTTCTTTTGTAAATAGTTCTCGTCAGAATAAAATGGGTCCTTTCTATGGGTACTGTCTTTCTATGGGTACTGTGAATTGCTCACTGTTGTAGGGGGGGAGAGAAGCTGTACCCTGCAAACATTGCTAGACTCCAATTCCCATCAGCCTTGACCACTGGTCATGTTGGCTGAGGCTGATGGGAGTTGGAGTCCAGCAACATTGCGGGGGGGGGGGAGACCTTCTTTGGGAGTTCCAACAGGGAAAAGCACTCCCTTGCTGCATTTAAGCCAGTACTGGAGAACTGCTTGGCATACTGACATTGTTGGACTCCAACGCCCATCAGCCTCCAGCCAGCATAGCCAGTGGCCAGGCATGATGGGAGTTGGGAGTCCAGCAACATCTGGAGGCCCACTGGTTTCCCTGTTCCCGACTTCAAATGATAGTAGCATGTTAAAAATAATAATTTGTGGTGTTCGTTTAGTGCTCTTTATACAAATATATGCCAGTTGTTCACAATGCAAATTACATAATTGAAATACTACAGGTTAAAAACAAAAGCACTTCTCAACAGCTCCAAAACCAATTCAGACAGAATGAATGATCCAATTGGGCTATTTAAAAAAACACCTTCATTTTCCATAGGATTTCTATTTAAAGCACCTAGGAGAATAAAAGTGTCCTAACCTAGTACCTGATGGTGATGCTGACACTCAGGGCGGCTTACTGAACTGTTCAGCTTGTAGACTCCATCCCAGATGTGTCTCTTCTGGATTATAAACCAGCTTTCATTTTCCTAGAGATGAGGAGCAGCCATTGCTTTTTATCCAAAAATCTTAAGTGTATAACCACATTTTTGTACTCTACCCTCTTGCCCCCTGCTTTGTGCAACATCTTGTCCAATGAAGAGTTCTAGACAACTCAGAAACCTGCCACATTTAGGGCATTTTGATTGGCCCCAATAAAGTTGGTGGGCCCCCTCCGCTTTGTGAAGAAATATAATCTAGCAGATCCCTTTCCAAAAGAGGCTACATACAAGACATTTGCATACAATACATTTTCCTGACGGGCATATGGAGCCTAACTGGGAGGGTGGGAGGGCGGGGGGGGGAAGAGTCAAGGAAGCCAGATAAGAAATTTGCACACCTGGTACTGGGGAAGAAGCAAAAGACAGGAGCCTCGAAGGAAGATTTGGCAGCTTGGCACCTTTATTTTTAGTTTTTTAAAATTATTTAAAAAGCATAATTAGAAAGTTTCAATATACAGAAATAGTCCTAGCAAACCAGTTAGACATTCCACCGCTTGACATCAGCACCGCTAAAAACGCAGCTCTCCCCCCCCCCCATTTAATACTCCACAGGCACCACCCACTAGCACTGTCCACCAAGTAAATCTACCACCGTGAAGCATCCTTTAACGACTGGAGCTTATGCAGCAGCACTGAGCAAAGACAAGAACCGGGAGAGGTGCTGCTAACGGCATCCTTGGGAAAAGCATCCCATGCTTCAACATCGGAAACCGGGACTGCTGCATTGGCAAAGCTCACACCCACGCCCCCCCGCTTCACAAAAGACCACTGCAATATGAGAACCATCCCCCTCCCTGTCACACAATGAGGATCCACCGTTGCTTCAGCCCGTGAGTTCCAAAACAGCACGTTCCATCATTTTCTGCGGGCCTCTTAACGCTAGCCATTCCTTCCCAATTGGTTTGCTCAGCTCACATTCTCAATTCTGGAATTAGTGAGAAGTTAACTTACAAGAGACGCACAGAGCAGACAGCTGTGGAAGATGGGCAGCTGGGATGGATGTTGTCTTTGAGAACAATTTCACCGGCCGAAACCTGTCACATTCGCCGCTTGCGTGGGAAAAGCCTGCAGAGTCAGACTACTTGCAATGCGATTGCACGAGGGCTTTGTACAACCATAATTGTTGATTTTTGTTATTCAAGGCAAGCAAAATAATAAGGGTTTTCAACTTAGCCCTTCTTGCATAATTCAATGTCCAAAGGGTCAGTGACGCTGGAGAGCCTCCTATCATTTTCATATTCAGGGGGAGGAAGGAATCATTTTGGTTGAAAAACATGTGCTCTCCTATAGCCCGAGCCATCTTAATATGCTAGGTGAGCTCATTTTTAAACAATGAGGAGGTAAGCCTCTGGTTATTTCCCTCCTAAAGCCCACCATAGCCATTAAAAAAAGAACAAGGGGGATAAAAACCTTTTACTTTCAGCATAACCAGATCAGAAATCCAGTCAAAACTGCACAAACCACAGCAAGAAGCCCCATCCGATACCTAAGAGACCACCTCTGGTCTGATAAAGGACACAGAAAATAGCCTGTTGACACCTGTTGGGTGCAAGCACCATTGGGAAGAGCCCTTCAGCTCTTAATTTGTGGGAGAAGGGAACAAAGAAAGAGTCACAGAGAATGTTGGCAGCCAGAAATGCACTTTTGAGAAATGCACATCACGTAACTGTGTGCAGAATGATGAGTGCAGGAGTGGGGAATAGTTTTTGAGAGATTTACACTTTGGTAGCTCTTAAGGATGTTATGGGAGAGAGATTCCACCAGGGTGGGGATAATACTAGTTTTAAGTCTCACATCTAATTGCCAAAGATTTCCTTTCAACTGGCCAGAGAAGTTAAATTGGGGTGGGGGTGGGGGAAGCCTCTCTCACCCCCTTGCCAGGGAGTGTGGAGAAGAAAGAGAGCACAGCTATTCCAAGAAGTGACAAAGCTCCAGCAACATTGGCTATTCTGGAGACTGGGGGAAAAGGAATCTCGGAAGGTTGCCCACACAGCCTGAAAAAGTAGCTAAGGCCTCCATCCTAGCCTGAAGGTTAACAAAGGCTGAAGAGGAATGAACGCCAACAAGGGGCAGCTTCACTTAAGGACATTGTACTGTACTCTTTGGAGGGAGAGAAAAAATGGTGAACTCTGAAGAAGTCATGATTGGTCGATAATTAAGAAGGCAGAAGCGACAACGAGGGAGGCGCAGCTGGTTAAAGCACAATATACATTATGTACAAAACTCTTGAGATCAAAAGTCCACTTGGTAGGCAAAGTCATTTTTGTCTACAAGATGTTCTTGGGGGGGGGGATAAGGTAGGAAAGAGGGGGCAGAATCACCTCCATCCAATACCTCCTTGGCACTATTGTGGTAAGGTGCCTCCTGACCGAAAAAAAACGTGGAGAGAACTCATTTAAATAACGGCACAAACTGAGGGGTGTGCGGGGGGGGGCAGGGAAGAGTCCTCCCGTGGCCTAGCCCAGTGGAATCGCCGCCTGCATCTGGCTGGAAGGGCTGAGCTGTCTGAGGGTGCAGTCTCTGCCGCAAAAGAAAAGGGCATTAGCAACACCGGGCCTTCTTCCGTTTACTGTTCTTCGTTAGCTTCACCACATCGTTCTGTTGCTGCTGCTGCTGCTTTGCTAGGTTGTCTTTTTTGGCTCGCAGAACCAACTCTGTGATGCAGTTGAACATCTGAAAAAGAAAAATGCAAGATGAGAGTGGAGAACTCTGAACAACAATAAGCAACACGTCGGAAAGCAGACCAGCAGCAGTCTCTGGCTACACCAGAAGTGGCCAGTTCTAGAATCAGGGGCACTGAAGACATTATGTTAGCTGGCCACTAACTAGAGTTAAGAGCTTGGATAATGGGATCACATGTTCCGTCCCGAGCTCCTCACCCCTCTCGCCCCTCTTGTTCAGCATGGCAGCTGAACAATGTTGTCCCTGCTGAACACAAATTGAGGAGTGCTATTGAACAAGCTTTAAGAACAGGGATGCAGAAGCTCCAGATGTTGACAGATTCCCATCAGCCCTAGCACCAGGGCCAATGATCAAGGGGGACAAGGGGAGGTGTAGTCCAACACCACTGGAAGGCCACAGGTTCCCTATCCCTGCTTTAAAAGACCTGCGAGGGGCAAGTGACGTAGTTCTGGATAAAAGCCTTAAGGATACTAAATGAGGAGGGGACCAGAATAAGAGGTAACTTTTGAACCACAACTCCCATCAGCCCCCAAGGTAAGGAAAGGAAATATGTGGCCTTTCACATGCTGTAGGGCTGCAACTCCCATCCCCCTGACCATCGGCCCCGCTGGTTATGCCAAAGGACTCTCTTCACCAGCCTCCAGAAGCAAGTCTATTGCTTTCTACTTCCTACATATCAGGCACTCAACAGAGAGAGGGATGCTTTCTTCACAACCATGTCAACGCCTTCCTTGGTATGTAGCCTAGAACAGTCAAGGGATCAGCAATGTGCTCATCAGAAGCAACATGTCCCCTGTGGGATTAAACGTAAGCCGCCACCTCCCATCTTTTCCTTGGTTATCACTTACTTCTTCCACATTAATGTTCTCTTTGGCGCTGGTCTCAAACAGTTGGATCCCCATCTGCCCAGCAAATTTATAGGCGTCTTCCGTCTCCACCACTTTCCGTTCTGGGTCATCATTCTTATTACCAACTGCAAGTACCAAGAAGTCATATTTAGCATTTATACAGCTCTGCAAGGTGATCAAACCCTTCATATTCTCAGTAATTCGGACAACAGCCTTATGAGGTAGAGCCATATGATGATGTCCACGTTGTAGGTTGGGGTGGGGAATAGACAGAGGCTGAGAGACAGAATCTTGCTTGCGTAAGACCACCTGAAAAGCTCATGGCTGAAGTGCGACATCAACTGGGACTTAAACTGAGAAATTTAAGCTGGTTCATAGCTCAATCTGCCACTAGGATTCTTTAGCTACCATGGGAAAGTGCAGTCCTATGAATCAGCCATCAGCTGGCCACAGTAACATGACTCAAAGGCTGCTCAAACCAGGCAGCTTACCTAATATCCGGCACACATCGTCGCAATTCTGGTTTATTTCATGCAACCACCGCTTGACGTTCACGAAGGACTCAGCGCTCGTAACATCATAAACCACAATAACCCCGTGTGTCCCTCTGTAGTACCTGAGGAGAGAAAGAGGTGTGTTAAGGCATGTGTCTGTGACACTTTGAGATGCTTCACATGCTTGCTTATTGGGGGGAAGTGGGTGATAGGAGAGAGAAACACCAGTATACCTGA